CAACTAATAAATATATTGCGTAAACGATTATTTACAACTACAAGAAAATTTCTTATTCCTGGTCAGGTACAACATTATCTACTTATATTAATTAAGTTGTGTTGCGCATATGAAGAGCTCCAATATTGATCTAGCATTCTACACAAGAGCGGGTTATTGTCAACGAAAGTGTTATTGTTCGAGAATTAACATAACAAACTTTTGAAAAAACGTATCTCTAGCATTCGGAAAATATAACGGAATGGTTGGCCGGTCACACTCTAGCAGGAACGAGTTCTCGTATACGAGTACACGCCATTGTTACTCAACTCTGGCTATTGTCGAGTAACCGAACAAAAACATGGAGTGAAACAGGAATTTACGTTTAGGAATTTATCGGTTTTTTTCCAACGATAGCTCCTGCCATTTTAAGAATCGTTAAATGATCAGATGAAGTAATTATCCCGAGTCTTATATGAAAACGGAAAAAAAATTCATCGAAGCTGTCTCTTGCCTATAGTGATATATTTTATTCAGATATGCGAGTCGTATAAAAATCGGTATAAGATTAGGTATCTGGTGTATCGTTGCATTTTAGAAATGCCAATGGATACCGCGGTATAAGTAAATCGCATTCGCATATGCGTATGTATGTAAAAGAAATATGATAGCAGCATCGAGGCGTCCGGTGTTCGTGCCGGCTCCGGCGACGTGCATGGGTGTGAAGTGGCGAGTGTAGACAGCGATGCTGCTTCTCACTTCTCGAAAACGAATGGCGCGTCAGCCGGATGGCAAGCACCCCGCGTTCGAGCGGCCGCGACCCGTTCGTCTAGATTCCGATGGCCGATAATTATGAAATTCGGCGTAGCCGCCTTTTCGAAAGCATTTTATCCGCTCGGAAAACGAGCGTAAGGCGCGAGATTAAATTCGCGACAATCAAAGGTCGTTTGTTTTCGCCGAGGGAATGTCGTACCGGGTTTCCAGTCGGCGAAGAGGAATTTCGAAGGAGATTTACTTGCGCTACTTCGCCGGAAATGGATGGAAAATATGCGAGTCGGTATCAATATTATGTATGGTCAATGTTGGTGCAATTATACATTGCAGAGGCCGATATATTACCGAGCCGTTCAACCGTACTATCTATCTGACAATCTGCGTGATATATTTTCACACCTAAAAGAATTAATACCTACCATATTACTTTCTTTTATGGTTTATATAATAAAATTAATAATAAATTTCACATTCCGATTGACCGTTAAATGTGATTTTCATCCGGAATTCCTAAATTGGATTGTACACGCTTCAAATTTCAATCAATATTTTTAATTTAAACAGTTTTTTAACCACCGTTGCTTAAATCCAATACGCCTCTTTATTTATCAGATACTACGAAAACAATTTTACTTTACCTACTCTTGTCCATTACACATCACAGCAATAAATGAGAATGCTTGGTTTATTATTTGATAACTATAAAGGATCGTTAAAATTTTATAACGGATCACTAAATTTACTTTTAACTGCGTTATTTTCAATTTAATAAGTGATTTGGCATGTAATTATTAAAATAATTTAAATAATGTCAAGAAAAGTTTACAATATAATGAATAGCTTTTTCTGCACTAGAACTTTTCTCATAAAATTTACAACTTTACAAGAAAATGAAGCGACAAAACTAGATAACGCATCTACGCGATTTCAATAATTTCATAAAAATGCCATAGGTCGTCTTCCTGCTGATTAAGTAACTGGTTTAAACGGGACATAAACGTTAACTATTTTATTGCAATTCATTAGATTGTTATAGCCGAACCAGTGAATCAGAAAATTCTTTCATGGGTATTCGCATTAAAAAAAGGCTTGTTGTTATATTCAATTATAGAAAAGTGAGTGCGGCAACAAAGGCAACGAACTATGGTAGAATAATAATGTATTGCATAGTCGACTAAAAACATATTAACAAAAACGAGATATTCCAATGTATCTTATTTAGGTAGGTATGTATAAACATTTTTGCAGTTTTGAAATCATATGAAATTTATACTTGAATAATAAATGAGATAAATTGGAAAATATTTCCTACTAAAAGGACGCTACTTAAAAGGTAAAATAGGTAATTGGAATAATTAAATAACAATACGATTTAATACTAAATAATTAAAGTACATCAATCGATACGCAGGGCATCGATTATATGTTCCCCATATACAAGGCACTTATTTGAATATCAAGGAATATCAAATCAATTAAACCGTTCCGGGAGTTTAATAATTAATTAGCGGAATATTAATTATTGACAGAAGGGGTATTATACTTACATATTGAACCGGCTTATTATTTTAATAACTATCCAAGTTAGTATACAAGAAAGACTCAACGTTTGATTAAATATTCATGTCTAAAAGACCCAACCAGATTATCTAACAACACACATTACTAATTTGTCGGTATAATTACAGTTCAAGCAATTAACGAAACTTAACTAGTGTAATTATGTGAAATATTTGGTGTTGTTACTAAAGAAATAATACTAATTTAATACAAGAGCTCACACTTAAGGTAAGGATTAATTGATCTTCATCGTTTAGCAGGCATTTATGTATTTCCGTTAGGAGAAGTATATGATTATTAATTGTTACTAAAAATTCACTACATTTACTAAAATTACTCCAGAGTTGTTTATCTTTTTAAAGGTATATGGGATAAATTTAAGTATTTATAAATGTGTCTCTGTCATAGAAGTTTTATAGTGCAAGTGAATTTTATGTTTGAAACGTGAAATTGATACGAAATTTCTATTTTCACAATAAACTTAGATATATCTACTCTTCGAGAGCACTATCAAAATGCAGTTACAAAATAAAATCCTTAGTTTGAATCAATATTTAGGGGCTTCGGATGATTTAAACATCAGATATTTTAAAAGAATATTTAAAGTTTAAAAAATACTTTATGAATGGAGTGCAAATATCCTAACGTACAAAAATCTAATTCCAACTAATGCAATTGTATAGTTATAATTAATCACATATCAGAAAATTTGTCGCACTCTCGATGAATCATCAATACGAATCGAGTGAATTAATCACAAATCACCCTCTTTCAATATTTGCCCCTCGAAATAATTAGGACGAAACAATAAGTTCGCTAAGCAAGGGATCAAACATTTGCTTATCTCAAAATTCAAACACCATAATTTATATTTGTCACATAACTCCGTCCGTACGCATAAATAAAATAAAAAATATACTGGATAAATTTTCCTCTTGTCGATATAATGCTTGTATAATTTAATGTTACAAAATATATATCCTGAATTGTAATTTAAACTCGCCATGTTCGAATCGAACGGTTTCATCATGAACAATTTAAATACGTTTAAATAATTTTTATCGCCCAACCCCGATGAAAAGAACGATTGTATATCGGTGAAAGCAGCGAAATTATTAACATCTCGAGTGATAATTACTAATGCATACACTTTACCGTAATGGTGCTTCGATTTATAGAACGGAATTACGCAATGCCATGATTTCTATAGGATCTCATTCATATACCAACAACAATAGCCCGAAATGAAATAGAGCCCGAGCTGAAAAATGAATGAGACCGCTAATGGAAAGCAATATTTTTTTTAAATAATATAAATTCTAATTTATTTGTTTTTGTTAATTAAAATATATCTAAGTATGAAAAATTCTATTAGTTAATTGAAAGGTTGCTAAACAGCGTCCCTTAAGTGAAAATTAACAAAGTTAGGCGAGAGCGACAATTATAACTTATTCAATATAAATCGCCCCACGTTAAGGGGGAAGGAAAATAAGAGGAATGTAGCATTTTGGTTATATCGGAAGTCGCTTTGTCCCCACGAAACAAGGGTTGCGTGCGTAACTGTCACCTATTTGCTCTATAAACAATGCTTTCTTCTAGGTTAAGTTTATGCTTTATTCATGCGAGTTTGGTCATTTTCATGTCAATCTGCCCGGTATCGGTAAAACCATAATTGAACTAGCATTTCGAATGATATGACGATCAAATAAAACGAAAACAATTATGACTTATTTTTGTGATTTATCCGATACACCCACGTGAATATTGAAAATGAAAATTAGTTTTAATATTTCATTTGAGTACCTTATAACATGTCTACTTATTAGGTTAGTATTTATAATTGTATTGTTATACAATTCCAATTTATAATTATTAAATGAAATAAGATTATTAAATTTATGAAAGCAATTGTGATTTTAATAATTGTAGCAACTACAATAAAACTATAGGTACGACAAATAAAAAATATCTAGCATATATTTTATTACCTATATTTAATTTGAAGATTAATAATAAAAGTATCTACAAGTATGTTAGCAACTATTTAATGAAAACTAAGTACCTTTATTTATTATGTTTTATTAATTTAATTGCTTATAAGCTTAAAAACACTAGTTGGATTTACTGATAAAATTAAAAATTTTCACAGTACTTAGGTATTTTTACGAGATTAATGGGTAATTTAGTTTATGGATTTGCAACAATTTATACTTGCAATTAGATATAAAGTTTATGACTTGTTTTCAATTAGAAAAAAGTACCAATTTCCTAAAATTTCCTTAATTAATTGAAACTTAAGTGACAAGTTTGCGAACTTCGAGATTATTTTTCAATTATGGTATTACTCAATGTCTTATTGATAATCCTATATAAAGAACTTGTAGAGTAAGTTCATTTTAAATTCATCTTGATTCATAATATTATGCATGAATTGGTAATGGATTATTTGAGGTTACCGGCAATTTTTTGCCGCCTTTTACGCCTGTAAAGTCCCTACGCGTGGCGCGTTCTCTATTCTCTATGTAACAAATATCGAATAATAATTCGCTCGAGCTCTACCGTCTTTTTGCATATGCAAATCCTAGCACACGTCGTCCCTTTTCTAGGATTACCGTAGGTAAATTTCCGGGGTATATAGGAAGCGGGCACGAGTCGCATTTGCATATTCGCACAATCGTTTTATTTACCTGTAAGCATTCCTGTCGAATGTGAAAAATAAATCCTCAACACTTGAGTCACAACGATTAATTCGTTTTAAACACGCACAGAGCCACAGAAAACCAAAAATAAAAGAGTCCTTCAAGCACAGCACTGAAAATCCTTGTGGTAACGCGGGCTTAAAACTATACAGGTGTTCATGTGTGTTAATTAATCGTGTAATATCTTCACGCGGACAACATAACGAGTCCGTTTCTGAGCTTCAACTGTTTTGTGCATAATGTTGACAGCCAATAAGGGGCGGGACCGGGAGGGGATAACACCCCCACCAGGCTACACCTGGAAGGAGTAGGGGAAAAGTGGGGGGCACGATGCGGTTGAACGGACTTGAAATAAGTTTCGAGCCGATTTGTGTGCTGCTGTTACTTCGCAAGAATTTCATTTTTTCCTCGCGCCCGAACCGAGCAGTTCTCTTTTTATTTATTGCATCGGTAATTACCTTTGTTTCTGGACGATTCCACCATCTCTATTTCTATATCTAATATACTATTACTTAAATTATCATTTATTGCAGGAATTCTGTTATTAGCAGGAATAATAGATGTTATTAATATATTTTTCTTTTGCCGGCAATGCTGAAAGAATATAACGTATATGGTGCAGGTACTTAATAGGATGCTTCTCCAATACTTTTTTACTTTGCCAAACAATTGATCATTTTCTTTTCGTATTAAAACATTAGAAAAATCATGTAAACCAAAAAAAGTACTAAAGATACTTAATTGAAGTATAAATGAATCCTAATTTAATTTTTTTTACTAAAAACTTGATCCATCAATTTTTATACCACAAACTCTCCTGGAATACTAGATATAAACTACTCATATTTTACCCAATCGCCTAGACCAGACAAGAATAAAAGACAAGACAACTATACGCCGTATATACGAATATACCAACCGTTGGTAAAATGTAAATCAATGATCTTGTCAGCGCATAAAACTTTAATAAAACCGTCAACTATTCCAGATAATGAACTCTCTTCCCACACAGGAGATTTTTCAAGATGGCGAAACTCCGTCCATCGAACAAGACGTGTCGAAGACTCGAACAAGACGCAGCAGCACCGTGGAATTCAAACGACTTCGCGTTGTATATTCTCAGTGGTAAAGATAGGAAATGTAAAGAATTTTGTATTATGTGAATAATAGCATTGTGGAATCGTGTACGGACGTAGTGGTAAACTAGCAGTCCGATACTGGCTAAAATATTTATGCGACCGATCGACGATAGATGAGGCACATTCTTCAGATTCGCCTGATATGCGGTTTAAATAATTTCTTTTATTGGTTAATATTTTTATCCTACTCTATACGAACTAGTAGATGTATGCATTTCTGTAGGTAAATCCATTCTTTTCCATTCTTTTCTTTCCTTAACATATAATACGTTAAGATGTTTTTATTCAGTCAATAACAACATTTTCCAATAGACTTAAGAACATCTCAGTCTCTAGAACGTTCTATTTTTGTTCTTACGACTGACTTATTACTGTTCATAAAACTGATATTCGCAAAGAAAGGACGAAATTTTATACAGAAAATATGCTTTCAGAAAGTCTCATCTTGAAATCGTATATATGTACATAGAATATTAGAGAGTCTATTTTAAACGAAACAATCCTTTAGAATAATGACGTACCTTTCTTTATAAAATTTTCAATTTCGTCGGTAAGCAAGTAGGTACATCTTTTAATGCAAGTAAATTAAATCTTCAGTCTACTCAAAAAGCGCCTAACTAACGTCGTTTGAAAGATTTCTTATATTAAATTTTCTAATATCATAAGGCTATCTCGACCTGCTCGACGCAAACGAACGGATCTCGACGTCTAGGAAACGTACAATTATTTTCAAGGCTGTTGTCCTTTTTCGATTCGAAATAATTTGCTGCAAATCGATTTTTAAGAGCGCCGCGTTCGTCTGTGTATACCTCCTCCAGCGCATTTTATTTTCCAGCTCATCCATATCGGAAGTCGCTCAAATAAGCTCCTATTTACAGACATATACCACGAATATTCCTGTACCTTATACATGTAACTACCATCAAGTTAATGAACGAACAATAGGTATTAGGAAATAGCTATTAGTGTATTGGGTCAGTGCTGGTGGTGCCTGATTAAGATGAAAATCCCCGTCCGGAATGAATCTTTTAAAAAGCTAGACGCAGATAAATCATTGAATTAAATTTAGAGAAAAAAAGAATCGAGCTACTCCGAAGAATCGAACACGTGGTCCGCACCACGCCATCCAATCGCAGGTATAAATCAAATGTGATACGCCTGAATGTCCTCTAGTTCGGGCGGTATCTTATAAATAATATCCAATTTTATACAATCCCGGTTAATAATAATATAAAAAAATTGCTTCTACGTACGTTAATAATGTTAATTAAATTGAGAGGGTTCTTTGGACTTTCTTAATTGGAGATCTCCAAAGGTGTCTTGTGTTACTAATGGAAACGACTTTACTAAAGTATGAATACACCTTGTATAAAAAAATGAAAGCGCCCCACGATGTGTACCATCATCACTATACCAAGAAAACGCTCCAATAAAACTCTCCATTCTCCACACACATGCAAGCAGCCTTTTTCAGCGCGCTCCCTAGTCTATAAACCGCGGTCCTAGAACAATGGACAGTGTCGCCGACTTTCGGCTTCGGCGCGAACTGATCAAGACGGCGATTTTTTTCCTGCAAGACATCTAGTGTGTAGTAGTGCAGGTTTTAGTGGGCGGCAGGCGTCTCGACGAGCGTCCCGACGTTTTTTCCTGGCTGTACCTTCGGATCGACGCGTGTGGCGGAGACACAGTATTTGAACGACGCCACGCAAAACGTTTATTTTCCTTATGCGCCGATAAATTGCAGTTAAATTCGCGAAATCTTGTTATATCGAGGCGACTTCCTGCAGGAAACGAATTTATAAGTACTAAATGTGTTAAAATATGTATATGCAAATGTTGTGAGGACTTGAATAAAACCGCTTTTAATATGAATTTGGTAAAAAAATTTACACAAAGAGCTATAAATTGTTCAATATTTTAATTGTTTTGTATTTTATTTAAAAATTGAAGGTGTAATTTGTTATGAAAATGTGGGTGGTTGTAATTTAGGTAGGCAGATAAAAAGCAAGAAAACCGAATTCCTGAATAAACAATTTAACGGTTCTAAAATATCCTTTAAATTTATCTGATCGAAATCTTAAAAAGTATCTAACAATAAGCATTTGTTATAGACGTCTTGTTATAATTTTATTCCACTTAAGAACAATGGAAACAACACAAAATTGAGAAATTATTCATATTTATTATCAAATCTACATTCACAAAAATTTCTCTTGATCGATTCGTTCCAGTCGAGTGTTATTTAGTGGGTTTTAATGTAAATATCGTTCAATAATTTCATTTCCTTACATAAATTGCCTCGATAATATCAACAAAAAAACGCCATAAAATAAGTATCTCAAAATCATTTTACCACTCCTAAATCCTTATCTTTACGCGTAAACAAAGATCGCGCGCTATTCAATTAAAAGCTCGCCTCTCATAATTGAATGCCTAATTAAATAACTATCATGTACTTACACACTTACACTTGAGTGGCACTCAATAATTGAAGGATGAAGGAAACAGTGTGAAGCTATACATTTACATGGATATTTGTACGGCGGAACAAATTGCTTAAGTTAAAACAAAACCCCAATTAGCGGAATTTCCATAAATAAATGAATAGGAGAAATGAACACCTGGGGCGTGTGAAAAGGAAACGCTTCGACGCTGCCTCAGATCAAGATATCGCCCAATACACGTTACCCAAAAATTGTTGACTCAATCGATTTATCTCCTCTCCTTGGCTTCTATTAAAGCTTAAAATAAAAATTCAAAACAACCAACCCATCGATTAAGTTTCCGGTTAAGGGGGAACCAAAAAACGGAGGAATTTCCCTTTAAACGGCAAACGACACTCCCAATAAAACCGGGTTTAACCGCGGAGATCTCGTTGTCTTTGACAAAAATTAATAAAGCCTCTGCGACGCCGAGAGAATTCCCAGGGAATGTAAATTGCGGTCGCAATTACTGGAACAAGTAATTAATTAAATGAAATACGCCCGACATCCGTGCAAACACGGCGTGAAATTATGACAAACCGTCAACCATTATAAACATCAGGAAGACAAAAGACAATTAAATTGTAAAATGTACTGACAAATGCGTACAATTGGCAACGCTGTATACGATTTGAGTGGTAGGGGAAGAGTAACAAAGCGAGAAAATGCTCAAATGAAATGATGCAAGTGGATTATATCGAACGTTTCTAATAAATAAGCGAATTCAAATCCGAAAAAATCGTCCTTGCATCCGTCGAAGTTGTCACCGTCTGAGGCCGTTTAAAGTGGAATTCAAAATCAATAAGTATTCCGTATTCCCATTTCTTGTTTCTGGTGTGTGCGAGCGAGCGTGTGTGAGCGTGTGTGAGCGTGCCGTTCGTCCGCGTTCGTCGCAGGAGAAACCGGGCGATCGGAAGTGCTCGGTGATGGATTTTTTACGAAGTCGACGCCTCGATTTGCATACAAGCGCGCTTTGTCGGAATGAATTTCAAGAATGCCCTTGTTCGCCTCCGCTATCTGCATTTTTCACCTTCGATTTTTTTTTTCGGATGCGATGGGCGTGATGTGACAAAACGCTGGAAAACGCTTTCGAGAGATTCGGCCCTCGCGTCTTTCAAATAAATTTTTGATATCGTTATTATCGTCTATAAAATCATTATAAACTAAACGAATGTTAACCATGTTAGATTAGAATTATAGTACTACCTGCCTGAAGCAAAACAATCACAATTTCTAATGCCAGAACTAGAATTCTTAGCTATAGAGGTAATATGAAACAATCTTAAAAAGTTAAATACATAACTGTATTCAGTTATATATAACAGAGGACCGTAAAGGTATTAAAAATAAAATAGATATTAGAAACTGGTAGGTAATAATAAATTTTTCTAATACGTTGGTTAGATAAATTACTAGGTACCATTAAATTAATAAGAATGACTGCGGGTACACCTGTAATTTATAAAAAACGACGATAAATTAATACAAATCGTAATATAGTAATTTGATACACTTATTGAAACTAATTTCAGTAACAGGATCACATGACGTGAACTTGTATAGAATACACGTATTAATGAAGCCTTTGTAAAACT